TGACAATTTTTTCAAATAATCCAGCATAAAATGAGAGCAATATTTCAAAAGCCACAAAAACTAATTATCCCTCATCCAATGCAGATCATTTGGGATTTCTAGATTTTAATATTACAGCTCTCCTAACTACTTGCATTACTGTAAACAAAATATTCATTTACAAAAGAAAAATTCACTACAGTACGCAAAATAGCGTGTGCTGAACTGTTTTTAACTGCTGTATTCATCTCCACAGACACCCTCACTAATACCTACCTCTTAGGTTCTTTGTATTCATTACTGAGATGCAATCCTTTAGATTTTTCCTCAACTCCTAGAAGAGACAGTAAATTGACAACAATTCCACCTTCACTGTCTTCATCCAAAGAATAACATAACTGCATTGGAATGGAACCCTCGCTAAAATGAAACATAGTCAGGTCATCAATAACAAGAATATCGGCCATATCCACAAACATGTGTTACTTTTTTATCAAGTAGAAATAAAACAGAGAAATAAACAGGTCAATAAAATCAACCAACTAAACACTTTTATCTAATTGTTTGTGTGCTGCAATAGGTAAATTATACATAAGATGTGCATATTATGCTAATTACCTAATTAATATGCACAGATTACAAGCAATGTGACAGAATTTTATCTAGTTGTTAATGCTGAATTAGGTAATTGTTGGATATGCATAATATGCAAATTACCTAATTAATATGCACAGAATACAACAAGCAATACAGCACACTTCTATCTACCTGTTTGTATTCTCTCCGGTATCATCCACTATGTAGTCATCTTGGAAATCTCCTAAGACTGATTCACTGATAAATGTCTGCAGAAAATAGAAATAAACACTTAAGTTGGAGATACAAGATTCTTGTAATCACTCACTGTGAATGGTACCGGTACACTGTATGACAGTGAAAGGCATATATTGTGGACTACGCAAACACGGATACTTTGTAATGTATAAGTCCTACCAGAATGAAATATATACCTTCCCAGAATGAAAATGTTTCTTAAAGCCGTTTTACGCAAATTTTTGGCCGAAAACAAAATTCAGTTAACCAAGAAAAAAGTAGTTTGATTTTGGCTGTTAAGAACATGACAACCAAATTTCATTGAACAAATTGTTCACAGAAATTACGTACACATCAAAGAAATCTGGCTGGTAGTTTTCAAAAAGAAGTTAAACATATCATTTTGTATCAAAAATGACAAATTAAAATATTTGCAAAAATAGAGAATTAATGATATCATCACAAATCGGATAGAGGTCCATCATAGGTACCCACATATAACATATCAAAGTAACCGAGGTGGTATTTTTTTCTAGAAGAAGTTGAAAAAGTAATTGACAGACGGATGGTAGACAGGCGATGGACAATCACATATATGAACATTGTCATTCACATTGACAGTGGAGCTAAAAAATTATAATCTGGTGTACATTTAAACACAAAGTTAAGACATGCCTTTATGTATATCCATATAGACTAAGTCTTACCTGTATTCTTGAATCTAAATCTCCGCCGCTGATAACCGCTGACAGTTCATCAAAGAATAACGCTGCAGCTTCTGGTGATTTACTGCTACTATTACGAACCAATTCCAGCAATGAAATTACCTGATTGTCAAGAATAGATAAGAATCTTCACAATGGGACCATTGTTTTAACTGTTGTATTTTTAATGGTGTCCTAATTTTAAAAACTAACTTATATTTAATTGTCGAGTAAGAACTACTGTATACTGTTTAATTTACACAGCTGAGAATTTTGGCAATTTGCCAAAATATAATGATATCTGCGAGGGGGAAAATCCTGCAAAAATCAACTGTGACAACTGTGTTTTTAGGATACTATTGAAATTTCCATTGTTTCACAATTTGTCTAAAATATAAGGGGCTATTTCATTCCCATGATGCATCTAAATTTTCTTGAACTAAACTTTTACAGATTCTATAATGATGATGATGTCACTATTGAAGTACTATATCATGAGATTAATAATTAATACTTTCGTAACTGTAGTAGCAATGAAATAATTTAGCACATGCTTTGTTCAGGTGATACATTTTTTGAGACTCACAACATATCAAAGTAATGAAGTTGGCATTGGAATTGTCTTTATCATCTGCGTCTTCATTTTATTTGCTTCACATACTAGGCAACGTTCTATAGTTATATCAGTTTTATTTTATAATGTGAAGACATGGGTAAAACTTTAAACTTTAGACAGGCTATTTTAGGCATGCAAAAATCCAATGGCAACGAGAGTTGACAAATCATTTGAAGTTTACCTGTTTGTAATTCTCATCTCCAATGGGTGCAACATTCAATGAAGCTGATTGGTCAACTGATTCCTCATCAGATTTGTCATTATAAGCCATGTTGTGGATGAGCATAATAGCACCAATCACACCGATACGTTTGTATTTAGCACTGGCGCTGGTTAACTGCTTACGAACCACAATATGAATGTCATCCTTGCAAAGTCAAACACAAGATAGAGATGATAATGCAGGCAACAATTCTATAAACATGCTTTTTTACTCTTAGTAAATATATTTTGCAAATTTGTACGCATTTTTCTATAATTTTTTAAATAGACATAATTTCCCACTGATGATGTTAATGGATTAACAATAATAAAATGTTTTTTCTTGAGAAATTTCTCCTTTTCATGATTACACCTTTTTTCACTAGCACAAAATATTATATCGTTGTGACTCCTGTTCTCAAGAGCAAAATGTTATGGTTATTCCTGAAGTTACGGTAATCTCTTGCAAATTTACATCAATTGGTTTGTTTCATTTTTTACCTGTATGTGACTTGTATCTTGGTTATTTCTGAAAGCTAAATTACTGAGAATAGAGAAGAGTTTTCTGATCTGTGAAATGGACAAGTTATCCAAATAATCAAGCACACTCTATAAAAGAGAAGAAAAAAAATAAATGTACCATTCGAAATTTTTATTTACCAATCAGTGACATAAAATATTTGTGTGAAATCATTGTCTGTTAACACAAAATTCAAACGATAACAAAAAAATATTTCATCCCACATTATAATAACTAAAATACAGATGTACCTCAAACTTTTAACCATATTTTGTTAAAGTAACAAGAAATGCCCATGAACAAAATGTAATACCCTTTCCTGGAAGCACATTTAAAAACATATCTTATTAATTCATGATGGTCTGATCTATTGTAATTTATTTACAATTTTTTCAATGATTAATAATGGTCATTGAGTGCCATTTATGAGAATATATAAGAAATAAAAGATGATTTTTAGTTGTTATGGATACCTTAATGAATACAGCAAACGGTGCCATAGCTGCCGGTGCGATATCTACCAAGTCAGAGAGTATATCTAATGATGAATCCACTTCGCCAGCATAGCCACTACCGATATGTGTCACCAATGCACCAACTATCTCCTAAAATCATAATTTATTTGTCGTCACATTGGATTGATTTAAATGTGTATCATGTGATATATACAATTGCATGTAAAATTATGTGTTGTCCATAAGGCCAGACGTTTTTTATTCCTTGTTTCTCAAGTTTTTATAAGGAAATTTTTTTGAGGAGGGCAGGAAAAAAAATAAAATTAATTCCTTTTTTCCATTAGATTTGTGTGATTCTCAAAAAATTGTAAGTGAGGCCATTGATTGGAGAGAAGAAATGAAATAAAATTTTATTCCATATATAACCTTGTTTCTCATTTGCGCGAGACTTCAGTACTTTGATCATGATACTCCCACGAAAATGCAACTTGGGTTTGTTATGCGGCGGGCAGAAAAAAAATTAAGATAAAAATAAGTTTTCTAAGCAATTTTTTGCACTTACAATTTGGCGGGCGCGGGATATTACGCTGAAGTCAAATTTTATTTTTATTTCATTTTCGGCTCCAGATCATTCGGCAGTTCGCGAAACAAGGGATAATAAAAGTCTGGCCTAACGTGAGTAAAATTGAGTACGGATGAATTAACTATACTTGCTAGTGTGTAGTAGTAGAAAAGTGTAGCTTTAAAAATGTTCCATGCACAATAACAAAACCAGGCTTTAGAAATGATGTCCATAACTGCATAACAAAGTTAAAGGGTGATCTACAGTAAGTACTCACCTGTTTACAGTAAAGATCTAAGCAAGTGAATGCGTGCTTGTAAAACGTACACCCAAAATGACATACTGGTGGTTCTGGTGATCGTAATAATACTTCGGACAAAGATAAGATGGATGCAAAGTATTCTCTCACAACCTGCAAACAATGCCAGTCATTTTGAACAATTTATAAACAAAAATACGTGTTTCCCACAGCAATAGCACATAACTATTCAATGGGGTTTTTTTTATAGTCAAATTCAGTCTAAAGAAAAGAATTATTTTCTTTAAAAACCAGTAAATTTAAAACCTAGTGAATGTCTCTCCTTCTGCAAATAATGATATTAGCCAAGATAAGGGACGACGTCAAAAGATCGATGTCCCATCCTACAAAAACAATTTTATTTTTATGAAGTCAAACAAATCTTGGAGTATTTGTAGTTTGTGTTTTTTCTATCCAATCATGGACAAAAATAACAGAAAATGAAAAAAACACATCCAAGACGAGAAAATGGTTTGGTCCGAGTGTAAAGTCTTTTTACACCCACCGGACAACCAACTGCTACGCAATACTACTGTCCGATTATCAATTTGTATTTAATGGGGAATATAGTCTGACGCCATGACCATTACTTATTAATTAAGTGTCAATGGGGTGGGGGGCTAAAGGAATTAAGTTTTTTATCCTACACTGAACTTTTGATGTTGTCCCTAATGTAGAGTAATTTACAGCTTGATTGAAATGGACACTGCTATTATCACATGTTACTGTCATATTTGTGTTTAGTTTGGTCTTATTACCACAACATCTTTTGACATCTTTTACACAACGCAAAATGTCAACCAAATCAATAATTTATGTCACCAGACTTGACAGACAAGCTGCGGTCTTCCATTGATGGCATGTTACTGAATATGCTTGCGACTGAAAGAAAGGGTCAATTTTACAACCCGCTGTATGCGAGCATGTTTAGATAAGATTTTCCCAAGTTGATATATACATACATACTTGACATATATTAGAAAGGCATGTACGGTTACCATAGGGATATAAAATGTATTTGTCCCATATTAATTTTGAGTGTATTAATGTCAAACATGTTTTCTATATTTTATGAAAAGTTTGTGAGCTTTCAAAGCTGCTATAATAAAATAACTGCACATCTCTGCTGACCGGAAGTTAAACCATGTTGGTTTAAAACCCCTTTGTGCACATGGTAACTAAGCAACCAGAAAAATTCAGAAACCAGAAGTATTGAATATAATTCTGACTGTGTTGTTCATTTGCAGTCTTACCTGTGAATGCATGTTGAAAGTAACACGTAATAATTCCTCAGTAAAATGACCTGATCGGATTTTATTACGAAACAAACTCTCAATTGTCTTTTTGCGATTTCCTGTAGTGTACAAAATCAATAATACAAATATATCGATCACCTGTAAATGAAATGAAAAAAACTTTTCAAATAGTAAAATAATAATAAATTTTCACTAAAAGTAAATCAGAAAAATTCAGAACAAGCCATGCATGGCACAGTCCCCGTTAGTTATCAAATTTAAGATGTATAATTTTTTGCATAGTAATATAATAGTTTGAACATAAACATGTCAGAGATATGGATCCAGAAACTGATGCTTGATTATGATGATTAAAATGATTGACATTCAGTCATTTTGTATCTAATGGTCGAACAAGTACTTGTCCATATTCAGAGATATTGCTGTAGAACAGCATTATTTAAATCAAAATGGCCAACATTGAGCCATTTTGAATATGATCGTCAAACTAATAAAACTGTACATCTATGACATGATGTATAATACATAATATAAAATTGAACATAATTAGTCAAAGCAAGTCAGAAATATGAACCACATTTATTAAAATAAAATGGCCGCCAGTCAGCCATTTTGAATTCGATCTGAAAAACAATATGATGTGGGACTCATGTCAAGTCCTAGTTGGAATTTGGGGAAATGTTATTCATGCCAAAAATAAAGTAATTTGCATCAAAAGCATAATTAGTAATTGAGAGTGAATATCGAAATATATGGTCAGAAATTAAACAGGATATGCTATACATGCATTTTATGTATCCAAACTTATGTTCTTGTCCAGGCTCATGGGCAGAGATATTATAATAGTAGTATATGGTCAAAAAGTAAGATTGCAGGCAGTCAACTATCTTTGAACGATTGTGAAACTAATTGTCATGGACATGTATAATTGGAAGAGAAAAAAAATGTCAGTAATACATTTTGAAAAAACAATAAGGCTGCCAGTTGGTTATTTTGGATTCAAACACAAAACGAATCATCATGGACATGTATCAACATATATAATGTTTGTATCAAATTTGAAAACAGACAAATCCTGAAACAAGAAGGATGCTAGTCGGCCATCTTTGATCTGATAGACATGTATCCTAACAAGTATAATGTATGTACCAAATTTAAACAAAAACTGACAAAGAATGCATTTTCAAAAAACAAAGTGGCTGCCAGTCGGTCATCTTAGATTGAATCAGTAAACCACCGCATATGCATATGTCCCAGATGAAGTACTAGGCACATGCAAAGAATGAACAGATTTGGTCCACAGGGTTCTGAAATACAACTCTGGATGGACGAAGGGATGGATGGAGCCCGAACTATAAGTCTCAGTTTAACTTCATTAGCATTTGAAAAACAAAGTGATGTGCATCAAGGTCCCATAATATCCAATGAATCAAATTGATATGCATATGTAAAATATTATGTCTGATGTATGGATGAAGTTAGAATATAATCAGTCTAGGCATGTCTATGATACATATAGGTTTGGATGCACGCATGCATGTACGGATGCACACATGGACAAACGCGTTAATCCATAAGTCCTTGTTTTTGGGCGGCATCTGAACAGAGACTAAAAATGAATGAGAGTGGTACTCCAAATAACCAACAACATACCTTGTGATCTGCAGCAGTTGTAACACCTTCAATGGCCTGTATGAACAAACAATAGAACAGTCAATGTGATATTATCAAGTATATCACGTATATCATATATAGTACTTTTATTATTTACTTTATTAATCTGAAAACCTAAAAAGAAATGTTAACTCTTTCTTTACGGTATTAATAAAGCATTATTCTATTCTATTCTATATAGAGTACACATATGCTCCATGATGTGATTGACCACAGAACCTTATGGTAATCACCCTGATATATTTATATACAAGAGATGTGATATATATCCTAGCCAAAAAATAATCAGTACTGTTTTTCACATCTCTGGTATTATTAACATGTTTTGTGGGCTCTCAAATCTTCTAAAAATTGAAATAAGATTGGACATCAGGCAATAGACTTTGTGGTCTCAGAATTTCTCTACAAATACATAAATTTCATGTAATACCATAGTAAGGGACTTTACCTTAATCCAACCTTCCGCAATGCATTTCTGAAACCTTATAGCAGATCTGACAGCATCCAATGTCAGCACTTCACTTCCTTTGATGCTCTCTGTACTGGATCTAACATTCAGATATAAATATACATACATATATCAGACATGTTTGAGATAGAAGTACAGATGCATGCAAATGCAAATCTATATTTAATCTCCAGTCAGGACACATCATAAAAAACATCAAAGTAAACTACATTACTGTCCTCATTATCTATTCAGATGCATTATGGGCCATCTTCAATGATCTCAACTGAGTCATAAGAAGTGAAATACTCCTTTCCTTGATCATTGGTCAGTTTAATCACAACAATCAAATAATCTATGTTCTGATGTATTTTTTTTTAAGTGGAGTGAAATGTGCAATAAATTCTAGGTGTTAGTGCAATGAAGCGGGTCAGCAAGGGGTATTTTCGTAAGCTGTAATCAATTGTTTTTATTTTCGCCATAATGTATTTTAAATAATAAAAAACGTAAATTCGTAGACATAGGCAAGGTGTAAAATGTAATCAGCTATTTTATTCGTCCGTAATTTGTATATTAATATTTGTAAGCCTATAAAACATTTTCCAAATTAAATGTCGTAATTTCCAATTTAGATTCTTAAACTCAAATTATTAAAAATATTATAAAAACATAAAATGTAATTAGGAATTTGCTTTATCTGTAAAGTGTAAAAACCTATTTTTTACTGTAAATGGAACTTTTTATTTCTTGTAAAAATGTGAAATGCAGTGTTTTTTTCCTGTAACCTGTACCAGCTAACC